TGCAATAATTTTTATAATTTCAATGTTTATGGTTATTCAACTCTTGTTGACTGTTACGGCCTATTTGCAGTGTTTCACGCTGCTCGTTGATAAATTGTTCACTTGATTTGCGCACAACAGCGGTCCTGGGTTTTTACGTTGATTTATTGCTGTTGGACTGTTGACTCTTTGCACTTGTTTATAAGCTGCGTTTTTTGTGTTAATAAATGTTGTTAATAGTATGTGAGTTGCGTTGTTATTTTTTTAGTAATTGTTTGGTAATCGGATTCAGAAATGTGAAGGTCCACTTGAGGCTTACGTCATGCTTTTTAAGTATTCACGGTAATACCGTATACCGGGGTAAAATTAAGTGGAAGTTAGACAGTATTCAAATTTGGATACCGCCCAAGCCTACTAAGAAAGATCATTTTCTGTTTAAGAGGATGTGACGGAAGCATTAATACTCACTAAAACCACGTCTTGGTGTTGTCCAATCTCTGCCCGGTTACACCAGTCTGCAGCTGGCAGCATACAAGCAGTAACCATGTCATCTTGGCTCTACTGCTGCACACAGCAGGGCAGTCATGTGACTGGGGGGTGGTTACCATCGCACAAACCACAGAGATCCAGACACTAGTCCAGGCCCAGATTAACCAGTAGCTTGTGTCAGGAAGGCATCTGTTGACCTTTAGCCAAATCAAATAGGCTCAGATCTGGTTGGGCGATGTTCTAACGACCACGAGGAAACATAACGTGGAAGTATCAGCATGGGAGCCCAGCTGTGGATTTCCTCTACTCAAAGTCTTAATGATGTATCAGTTCATTTTACTCTTGCGTTACCAAACCGAGCTAACACTAGTTCATGTTGCTATTCATTCTGACTCTCACAAACATCATTGTGAAGGATCCCTGATGACTCTTGGTCTACGGAGGTTTATGGTGACCTCAGTGATTGTAATGAGCCCAAACCTTCAGCCCTCCACCACCGTGCCGACAGCCGAGATCTGCTCTTTTCTTAACACAGCTGTGCATTATGGGAAAATGTTTAATCTGATGTCTTAATATTTCAAAAGGTAATTTTCATCCTAAATAGGCCTAGACATTTTTATGTGTTTTGTATGGGTCTTTAAGTTTTAATCCACTAAGCCACTAACCAACTCATCCACCTGCTGATGTACAGAAATGTCTACAGTCTTCTTAAAATGTAAACTCTGGGTTTTTCCCAATTCAATAACTGATTTTGCTTGAATCAGAAAAGAGTAGAATGCCTTCGCCAGCTCAGGGATGAGGTCCTACCTCAAGAGGAGGAGTTTAAGTATCTCAGGATCCTGTTCACTAGTGAGGGAAAGATAGAGCGTGAGATCAGTAGGTGGATTGGCGCCGTTGTACTGATCTGTCGTGGTGAAGAGAGAGCTGAGACAGAAGACGAAGCTCTCCATTTACCGGTCGATCTACGTTTCTACCCTCACCTATGGTCACGACCTTTGGGTTGTGACCAGAAGAATGAGATCACAGGTACAAGCGGCCGAAATGAGTTTTATCCGCAGGGCGGCTGGGCTCTCCCTTAGAGATAGGGTGAGAAGCTCGGTCATCTGGGAGGGGCTTGGAGTAGACCCGCTGCTCCTCCACATCGAGAGGAGACTGTTGGGGTGGCTCAGGAATCTGGTCAGGATGCCTCCTGGATGCCTCCCTGGTGAGATTTCCGGGCACATCCAATCGGGAGGAGACCTAAAGGAAGACCCAGGACACGCTGAAGGGACTATCATAGCTGGACAGGGAACGCCTTGGGATTCCCCTAGTGGAGCTGGGAAGTCTGGGCCTCTCAACTTAAGGCTGATTCATGCTTCTCCGTCTGCGTCAGTGCGGAGACATGCAACGCCATTATCCGTCCTTGCGTAGGGCTCCGACAGGCACGCAAGTACGTACGGAGTCGAGCTCACTTTTTTAAACATCCGTCGAACGAGACGGATTACGCAAGCTTGTGATTGGTCAGGACGCCGCTGTTTTTTACAGCGCCGCCATTGCAAAGACAGCCGAGGATAACTAGCGGCAGACACGAAGAAGCTTGAAGAATACCTCGCAAAAAAACTCTAAAAATATGAACGTTTAATTCCCCCATGACTGGAGGAGTGAAAAGATGTGCGTTTTATTTGTGGACGGAAATGACAGGAAACGTGGGTTTAGAGGAGGGGAGCGCATGAAAAGGTGGAGGAGAATGAGACAAAATTGTCTGTGTTAAAAAGTTTCTTAAACACACTATCTTGGACCGATACATGACAGGATACCACAGAACAGCACTACGCCCTCTGTTGTCCTGCCGGGCAGTTGCTTTGCAACACTTTCCAGGAGACGGAGAAGTATGAGGGCAAAACGCTTCCGTCAATCCGTGCGAGTCTGTCCCTTGCGGAGCTAACGGAGAAGCATGAACCAGGCTTTAGGCTGTTACCCCCAAAACCAGACTCTGGATAAGCAGAAGAAAATGGATATGCTGGTGAAGGTTCTTAGTCATCCAGGTCATTGTAATCCAAAAGGGTTCAAATGAAGGCAACTGGACTTCTTTGAAGATGTTCAGTTGCCTTCATTTGAACCCCTTTGGAAGAAAATGGATGATTAGATGGATGGATTTTGCTAAATCATAATGATTATCTTTATTTCCACAATCAACCAAACAAGTCAGACTTGATGGCTATGCCTAAATTCAGAGGCTGCATCCTGCCAAAGCCGCATTTGAAGACCAATTACATCACAGTGATGACAGAGGCTGTCCAACAGTAAGTGCTGGCCAAACTGGACATTCTTTTTGTTGTAATAATGGTGGACGAAGTGGGAGACGATTCATTTTTAACTACAAGTACGTGAATTATCTAGCTGTCCCAAAAATTAAAAGCCTAAAGCAGTTGTGTCGTTGAGCTTTTACTGTTTTCATAGTTTTAAAATATATTTCATGCTAAAAATACATGTAAAAACACACTAGCTTCCGTTTCCTATGTGTGGGAATAAATCCGAAATCGAGTCCACTCCCTTCTGGTCTACATGGTGTAACGTCCAGCAATGGTCAGTTTTTAGGTACTGTTTGACCATTCAACATCTGGTCAGAAAGGAGACACGAGACTGCATGTGTTCCCTTTAAATTGGCCTGCCTTCATCCCATCAGCTGGAGTTCAGAGCCTCTCTACAGCTCTGAACACATGATAACGAATTATCAACAATACTGTTCGCTCCTCAAGGTCCATCCTCATCGTCCTACAGGATTCTTCATGCCTAACACTCGCAGCTCGGATCAGTTGGCAAATCAAAGAATGATTTCCTAAATTAAATATGAACTTCTAAATCTTATAAGCTAGATAATCATTAAATAAACGTTTGTTTACTGCTACTTATAATAATTATAATGTAATGAACTGTTTCATTAATCTGTGCTCAATGACTGAAGTTGGAAATGAATGTTATGTTATGATTACAGTGATTGAAATATGTTTCAGCATGTTTATATAACAAGGTCATCACCATTTGAACTCACACAAGAACAAAGTAAGGTTAAGTTAAACTCGTGACACATTGATAGCCCTTTACCCCAGATCAGAGCCTCCGGTATCTAAGAAGGCGTGTGTTTCTGAGTCTCTTGGTAATATTCCTCAAACTTGTCAACCTCTGGTTGGCTACACAAATCATAACATGAGAACATTAAAACTGGATCACTCTGGTGATTCAGCAGTTCTAGAGGAAGCTTCAGACCGGCCATCTGAAGCAAAACCCTCTTTAACCCATCAAAGCTTTTGACACGTTAAAACCTTTTTGCACCTGCGAAGCTGATACCGTAACAGTTCCAGCAAAACAAGCTGATATTGTTTAGACTCCTTAAGAGTCCCAGACGTGTGGTTCCATCCATCTGTTGTGACCTAGAGACAACTCTAAGACCAGTTTAGTGGGGCCACAGTTTCTTCTACGGACCTCGGTGCCTGGAAGTCCAAGGACTTCGACATTCAGATATCTAGTAAAAAAATAATAATACATCACCTGTGAAATCTTCTTATAACAGAAGATAAAACAAAGCTTTTCAGATACATGCTGCTATCTTTCTCCTTACTTGTGATCATGTGAACTGCTGATGTCACCAGTGGTCGTGCAATTCTCTGGTCATTTTGTGACATCACGGCCCAGCTGCGTGGAAAGCGTTTGCTGCCGTTACGTGTCTATAATGCTCCCAGTGGGAAAAGAGCTTGTGGGTAAAACACATCTTTACGTGATGCTTCCGCATCCAATGGAAAGATGGGGTTTGTTTTCTTTTATCTAAAGTTCTCTCTGTAGAATGAAGAAATTGACCTTTAACCTTTCCCAGACAGATGAGCAGCAGTGGCTGCTGAAGCATTTCCTCTTTGGAACTGTTAACACACACCTGTATGCTCCAGACCTCACGCATATTGGTTTAGGTATAGTTAAACAGAGGTGTAGCGTGATGACTCATTTTGTTACCTGAAGAAATATTTACCCAACTCTGAAGGCAAGTTATGACCAGATCTTTTAATATCCTGGCCCTTTAACTCTTAGAATTACAGGGTGTGTACTTTTTACGCCTGTACATAAAATGTTGCGCTGGACAAATTGGAAGTGGAGCATCAAAGACGAATCATTTCCTTCTCAGCGTAGAGCAGAAGACAGATAAAATCAGCCACCAGATCATTGGGTTCCTGCGGTAACGCAGCTGTAACAGAGCTAGCTTTAGCCACATTAGCAGCGATGCAGTGCAACAAACGGCGGGTAAAACCAGCAGACCTGACACACACGTTCTAATAAACACTCCTAACTGTTAGGGTTCATAGCTGCAGCTGAGAATGACTGCATTCACCGTAGTCCAACTGGACCGTGTTACTGATTTAACCAAAACACCACCCTTATCAGTCAACAAACGAGCACGAAGCAGCGCGCGCACGACTACAGCCGCCTCGCGCCCCCGTTTTGACGTTTCGGTTTGATAAAGCTGATTTAACGTCACGGCAGAGGACAAAACATCGTTGATTTACCGTTTTGTTTGTGCGTAGTTCTTCAGTAACCATTCACTGCGTTTCGCCCCAAGTCGTTTCTGGTCACAGCAACAAACCTGCCTGCGCCAACCCCTTATCCGATTTATTTTCATAATAAAAGGAGAAATTTCCGTTCACTCCCTTTCAAAATAACAGCCACCTGGAGCTGAGGCTACAGCCAATGGGATTGACCCACTCTGGAGGATTTAAGGGGGACTGCAGTTAAAAAATAAATCCCAACTAGCTGGTGCTTTTTACAGTTTTTTTCAGTTGCTAAAGCATTTGTCCAACCAGCTGTCACATTTTCAAAATTCTAAATACAAGTAGCACAGCATCAGTGTTTTGTGGCCACACAATTCACACATTCCATGTTGTTTTCACACAATATGCAGTCAATCAACAGATTTACATAATGCTTACATTGTCTTAACAGAGAAGCTATTGCTCCCAACGAAACTATGGATTGTTTTTGTAGTATTTGCGAATGTTAACACACAACATCCCACAATAGCAAAAACAAAACAGAAAGGACAAACACTGCAATGTCTGGAAAAGGACAAGGACGGGGCCAAGGGAACAGAGCAGGCCCAGTGAAAGGAGCAGGTCCAAGGAGAGGGCAAGGTAGAGGCATAAGAATGTGTGGTGGTGGAATTCCAAGGGTTGCAAGAACAGTAGTCAGTGATGAAATTTGTGCCACCATCATTGACCATGTAATCAACCATGGTCTTTCACTAAGAGAGGCTGGTGAAAGAGTGCAGCCCAATTTGAGGAGGTCAGTGGTTGCCTCCATTATACGCATCTTTCAACAAACCAACAGGTATGTATTGCATTTATAATGGATTGCTTCTATTGTAACTTGCAGTATAAATAAGACCATATAGTAATGCATTTTTCCCCTCTATAGAATGCAACGTCTTCCACCCTCTGGAGGAAGAGGAATGCTCCTCAGTAATGATCAAGAGCTAAATGTTTGTTGCAAATAATGCAATGAAAGTGCATGAAATTCAGACTAGAATAGTGGAGGACCATGAGATATTTGACAATATTGATGGCATCAGCTTCACAACCATTACACGGGCATTGTCCAAACACAGAGTGCGGATGAAGCAGCTCTACACTATTCCTTTTGAGAGGAACAGTGACAGAATCAAGGAGCTAGGACGACTATAAGTCCAGGTATAGTGTATATTCAATTCAGTAATGATGTGACTTGATTGATTGATTGGTAGTCATGAAGGGATGGACATGGTCAGAAACAATGCTCAGCTAGCCCGTGGCATTTAAACCATGCCCAATTGGCATTAAGGGACCTAAAGTGTGCTGAGAAAACCTCCCCCACACCAATACACCACCACCACCAGCCTGCACAGTGGTAATAAGACATGATGGATCCATGTTCTCATTCTGTTTACGTCAAATTCTCACTCCACCATTTGAATGTCTCAACAGAAATCGACACTCATCAGATCAGGCAACATTTTTCCAGTCTTCAACTGTCCAAGTTTGGTGAGCTGGTGCAAATTTTAGCCTCTTTTTCCTATTTGAAGTGGAGATGAGTGGTACCCGGTGGGGTCTTCTGCTGTTGCGGCCCATCCGCCTCAAGGTTGTGCGTGTTGTGGCTTCACAAATGCTTTGCTGCATTCCTCAGTTGTAACGAGTGGTTATTTCAGTCAAAGTTGCTCTTCTATCAGCTTGAATCAGTCGGCCCCTTCTCCTCTGACCTCTAGCATCAACAAGGCATTTTCGCCCACAGAACTGCCGCATACTGGATGTTTTTCCCTTTTCACACCATTCTTTGTAAACCCTAGAAATGGTTGTGGGTGAAAATCCCAGTAATTGAGCAAATTGTGAAAAACTCACACCGGCCCGTCTGATACCAACAACCATGCCACGCTCAAAATTGCTTAAATCACCTTTCTTTCCCATTCTGACATTTGGTTTGGAGTTCAGGAGACTGTCTTGACGAGGACCACACCCCTAAATGCATAGAAACAACTGCCATGTGATTGGTTGATTAGATAATTGCAATAAGGAGAAGTTGAACAGGTGTTCCTAATAATCCTTTAGGTGAGTGTAGTACGTTTTGGTAAGGGTTACCACTGTTGCTTCAATCCATGAAGGTTTCTGGTTTGAATCCCAGTTGAAGGCATTTTTACATAGAATCTTACCAGCTACTCACTGTCCAAAATGCATGGCAGCAGAGGTCAGGTGGTTCAGGCATCTGCCTTTGAGGGACTGTCCCACATTGACGACGACTGTGGGTCAGAAACCTTTTCATCAGGGTTCAAATGTCTCTCAGTCACTGGATAAAAATGTAGATGGCACATTTAAGATTTGAATTAATTATTGAAATGTTTATTTGTGCCAATTTTGGCTCTCGATATGAGACTACCAGTCTCCTGAAACATGTGGTTTGACTGTTAAAATAAAGTTTATACAAATCATACACATCACAAAATAACAAGCAGCAATATAAACTGGTTCAAGGGTCATTTGACCCCATAGGACCAGCTTTTACAGGTGGATTTAAAGGAGGGGGAAATAACAACCAAAAGCTTTTACCAAACAGGAAAACAATAAAAAGTATGTTTTATTTAAAAAACTATCTGTTTCTGTCAGTAAAACTTGCTTAATAACTCCCCTTCGCACTTTTTTATTCATTAATTATTAATACAATTATCAAACAACTTCACACATTAAAATCTCTGTAAATCTTTTAAAAGAGCAAGTCACCCCCAAATAAACATTTTTTTGCTGATAAACTAAATAAACAAGTGTCTAATCGTGCTGCAGACATGTGTAGTCAATAATTTGGCACTTCAGTGCATCTTAGTTAAAACTGGCAGTGTTGTGCCGTTGTCAGGTAAAAACTGCACTGTATTTGAATTTAAATCTGCCACCGCTATTGGCTAAGAGGTATGCTATGATGTAAACTGGTACATTATGATGTCACAATGCTGTCGTGAGCCTGTGGGTGTGTCCGAATCCACAGGCAGGATGCTTACGAATACGGGTCCTCGCCGGTCTAGCAAAGCCGGGTCCTTGCCAGACCGCTAAGACCGGAATCCAGCGGCTCTGAATTCGGACAGTCTAGCCTTCACCTCTACGGTGGCCCGTAGATCCCGTCACAGCCGTGGCGGCAGCTACACGCAAAGGAAAAATGCTAAAGCTAACGAAAATGGAGCAGGAATATTAAGGAGCTGCAGCAGCTTCACGTCCATCAGCAGCGTTTGTTCACAACCGTTTTCAGGTAAAGTAACTTTGTTTATTCTAGAAGCTTTCAGGACTTACATGCTAACTTTAGATGGTTTCATGTATGTTTTAAGCTACAGAATGAACTTGTTAAACGTACACAACACATTACTACAGAGTATTAACATGCAGGTAATTAATATAAACCAAATGCATTATAAATGTTGAATGCAGTAGGATGTTTTCTAATGTAAATTGGACCTTAGAACTTATTTTGCATCAAATGAGGGTAAAACGTTTTAAAAAAACAGTTTTTTAAAATAAAATAGCGTTGAGCTGTTTTCAATGTGCATTTGTTTATTCAACTTAAGCCTAATAATGATTAGATCTGTCTTAAAAATGTAAATTCTCTGTAGTTTTCCCTGCTGCTTTTCTTTAAACTGAACAGAACCAGTGTACTGCAGGTTATATGTTTTGTTTTACATTTTTCAATTAAAAAAACTATTTTTAATCTATTACAAGTCAGCATGCACTGTGCTGCACATCTGCCTCTGTGCTGGTGAAGTTGTGGGTCTGCAGGATGAGCGTGAGGAAGATGTGTGCGGAGGAGGTCAGTGCTGCTCTGTCCTGGAGGAGGTACCAGCAAACCACCACTATTGTTAACAGGCAAGTCATTCACAGAGATGTAACAGCCGTCGTCTGAGCCAGCCCAGCAGTCCCTGTAGATGGACGATGGAGTGGACAGTGAGAGGAAGCGTCCCAAAGCTCTCTCTGCAGACCGTCCTGTATGATGTTCCTCTGGCCAGAAACGTCCAGCCACGGGTCTGCTCCAGCCCTCCATCCACGTCTGGATCCTCCTGCAGCAGATCCAGCTGCACTGTTAAAGACTTCCTGCTCACTCAGTTTAAATAAATGATCCAGGAAGAGTCACTCAGGTTAATCCTGCTTTAACCATACAAAACTGGTCCATACTGGTTTTGATCTGTAAATAAGTGTAACGTATTATAAATAATCTTGTCTCCTTACCATCTTTTCATTTTCTGTTCATGTAACATGTTCAAACACATCTAATAAAATTGGTGATAAAAATCAATGACCAGAAAGAGTTCTCAGTTAGTATTTGTTTTAATAAATGTGTTCAAATATCAAACAGCTAAATAACAATAACATGATGACAGTAGAAGGCCTCTCTCCCAGGAGGACCACCAGGTAAAGCCTCTCCTGACCCTGGACACCTGCAGTCCTACAGAGAAAATCAGAGACTACACACTGTTAGACTTTGCTGGCATTTGCTAGTATATTACTGTAAAATCAACAGTAAAATACCTCTAAAAGTGTTTGCAGTGTAGTACTGTAATTTCCATGCACTGTTAGACTGTGCTGTCATTCCTATAGTATATTACTGTAAAATCAAAAGGAAAATACAGCTAAAATCTTAGCAGTGTAGTACTGTACAGGTGCTGGCCAGTAAATTAGAATATCATCAAAAGGTTGAAGATATTTCAGTAATTCCATTCAAAACGTGAAACTTGTACATTATATTCATGCAATGCACACAGACCAATGTATTTCCAATGTTTATTACGTTTAATTTTGATATTTATAGGTGACAACCAATGAAAACATCAAATCTGGTATCTCAGAAAATTAGAATATTCTAAAGGCCAATGAAAAAATGTTTGTTTCTCTAATGTTGGCCAACTGAAAAGAATGAACATGAAAGGAATGTGCATGTATAGCACTCAATACTTAGTCGGGGCTCCTTTTGCCTCAATAACTGCAGTAATGCGGCGTGGCATGGACTCGATCAGTCTGTGGCACTGCTCAGGTGTTATGAGAGCCCAGGTTGCTCTGATAGTCGTCTTCAGCTCCTCTGCATTGTTGGGTCTAGCGTATTGCATCCTCCGCTTCACAATACCCCATAGATTTTCTATGGGGTTAAGGTCAGGCGAGTTTGCG